ACACGCACGATCACTGTCCAGTTGACATGTTTAACCAATGTACCTCTTGTAAACACGCACGATCACTGTCCAGTTGGCATGTTTAACCAATGTACTTCTTGTAAATATGCAAGATTGCTGTGCAGTTTTTCCACATAAAAGAACGTTTAAACAATATAAAATGTTTAGCTAGTAAAAAATAACTATATACTCCATTCATACACTTTCAAATACAATCAGTAAAGTGTTCTAAGGGCTTATAGAACACCTTTTGAGTTACTGTATGGAGGAAGATAAATAAAACCCAACTTTTTAACCAGAAAACGAATAAAAATCCGCCACATTTTCATATATCTTTGCCTCACTGCCTCCTACCGGCAGAAATCAACAAACATCATATTGTTGTAAAAAACATAATTTTTGTGATAAGTTATCCTGAAAAGAAAAGAAAAAAGACTGCCTCATTAATCTCCTCTTACAACATAAGCGCCCCAAGTAACAGCTACTAGAATATCCACCCAACCCTGGTGTATACAAGGTAAACCTGGATGACGTTAAGGAATAAACAGGTATTAAGCGTTCAAAGAAAAGCGATAAACGTAGAAAGATATGCTTACTATGAATGTATTGTCACACCATTTAACTTTATAAATAGCCAACGATCTTGATTTCCCCTATTATTATTCAATATGCCTAGCAGCTAAACACCTGAAAGAAATTGAAGTCTTGTAAGATAAACCTAATCCTGTACCGTCAATCCAGGGACAGCTTTTCGGGTGTGTGGGCAATTACTGGCTACCAGATGTACAGACCCGGTAAAGAACATGAAGCGGATGACATTGACAAGTAACCTAGTACTTATTCCTGTCAGAGCGACAGGTTAAAACTAGAAGAATCATAAACATTAAAACGTTAAAAAAAACGAATCTCAAGAAAGTCTGATACTGAAGAAAATATAATACAGCTGCTAATATGCCGAAACAGTGTGTAGTATGAAACACCTTATATCAAAGAGCTCAGCAAGCGGATAAAAGAAAGGACCATCAGAAAGAATTCAGCACAACAGCTTTCATGCCCGACAAAAACCTACAACAATGTGTACGTGTCCAAAATGGGACTATACGGCCATAGTTTGAAGCTATACAATGGGCTATATGTTCTCTGCCTACCACAGGTATCGAAACCCAGTTTCTAGCGTTGTAAGTCCGCAGACATACCGCTGTGCCACTGGGGTATACGGGCATAGAAAAAAGTGCCTAAAGAATTATACTTTTTTGTGAGACTTACAGATGCCTACTACTACTACTATTATATCATGTTAGATGAAAAAGATATCCAAACTAGAGGGGAACTGCAGTATCACAGTGTAAATAGTTTTGGCCAACTGCACAATTTTAATTAGTGATTACAAATGTCACCCTGTATTGGTTTTAGAAGAATTATTTTACAAACGAATGTTCTATTTTCAAAAAACGATCTGCCACTTAGGCTTTCATATCTTTGTTTGTTTTTGAATTTCGCGCAAAGCTACACGAGGGCTATCT